GGATGGATGGATGGACGGACGGACGGATGGATGGATGGATGGAGGGATGGATGGATGCGGGACGGATGGATGGATGATGGATGATGGATGGATGGACGGACGGACGGACGGACACTCGGACGGAGCCTCGCTGGGTGCAGTTCCCGCTGTGGCCGCTGGAGGGCGCGCGCCGCCCGCCGGCCGAGCGGCACCGGAGAGGGCGAGGGGAGACTCCGGGATTTGGGATTTGGGGTCTGGATTTGGGATTTGGGGTCGGGATTTGGGGACGAACCTCGGGAGCTGCTCCCAGCACGGCCCCTCCCGTCCCCACGGGGGCTGAGACCTCCCGCATCCCCCGGGATTTGGGATCGGTGCCGATCCTCGGGAGCTGCTCCCACCACGACCCCTCCTGTCCCCACAGGTGAGACCTCCTGCATCCCCCGGGATTTGGGGTCTGGATTCTGGATTTGGGGTCAGGATTTGGGGTCAGACCTCGGGAGCTGCTCCCAGCACGGCCCCTCCCGTCCCCAGGGGGCTGAGACCCCCGCACCCCCCGGGACAGCCCCAGGGCAGCGGGGGATGCTCGGCTTTGCCTGGAGCCGCTTTGGGGACTCAGCACCGCTCCACCTTTGACACTGCGACCTTCAACGCAATTAAAATAAAAAAAAAACAACCCAAAACATCATTAAAGCGGCGGGGAGAACTCGGCAATGCTGCCGGGAGAGGGATGCTCCGGGGGGCCCGAATTCCCGGCAGGAGCGGAGCTTTTCCCGCATCCCAGCGCGCTCCGGGTGCCTCCTGCCCCGCAGCTCCCGAGGATTCCCATCCTGCCACAGCCCAGGAGAATTCCCAGCTCCTGCCCCATCTCCAAAAATAAAAACCCCGCACTCGCAGCAGGTCCCTGTTTTTAAACAGCCGAATTCGGTGCTTAATTCACGCCAAGTTCTTAAATTTTTCTACATTTTTAACATTTTTCTTCCCTTTTAATTCATTTTTTTTAATTCCTTTTTTTTTTTTTTTTAATCCCCTGTTCTTCACTTTCTCGCACGCAACGATCCCGAAATTTAAATTACTTTTCTATTTTAAGGGAGGAAAAAAAGAGAAATATCCAGGCGAATGGTACAAACCAGAGTTTAAAAAGCAGCTGGGCTGTGTTAGTGGCTGATAACTTTTTACGGGCACGGCAGAGATAAGAACAGTTATTTTACTTTATTTCACTGATAAAAATAGTGTTCAGGTGGGTTTTTTTTTTTTCAGTCAAGAGGCGGAGATAATTTTATATTTAAATTCATGAATGCTTTGAGCTGAGCTTCACCCCCTGCTTTGCATCTCGCCTTAATTCGAGATTGTAAACACAAAATAAACACAAAATAAACACAAAA